AGATCTCCAAACCAATGTACTAGTTTTACTAAATCAAGAGTTCAGAAATTGAACAAATAATCTGTTAGAAATGTCAAAGAGTGACTAAGTCTATATAAATTTTATGAATTGAAATCCCCAACTAAGATTGATAAGGTGTATTCACCCGTGTGTTGTAGTATGTATATAATACATATGTAATTTGTAGAGAGAAGATGGAGAATATGGCTCAAAATGACTCTTTTATTCATTGATGTTCTTCAATTCTAGAGGGAGTAGAGAGGGACTCTAAATGCAGAGGGAGAGTAGTAGACTAGAGAGAGAAGAGTCCAGGAGAGGGAAGGGAGGAACCCCTAAAATGAAGGGCTAAGGCCCTTTATATAGGCCCAAGTGTGGAGGGTTTGACTTTGACCCGTTGACTTTGACCATGACCCGAACCGTTTAACCCCGACTCGATTACAAAACGGGAGCACGGACGTATAGGGAGGTCAAAGACGGGGAATATTCCCGATCAAAGACGAAATATATCTATCATTTTTTATATGTCGGAAGCATAGGAAATCTATTAGTATAAAAATAAGAATTTGTGAAAACTAGATCTACTATTGAAATTTCGTCACTCCTGAAATTTAAAGATTTTCATCCTGAAGACGTTCGCCTAGAAGGTGAAACCCCCTGTAAAATTATTGGTACACCGAATAATCAAAATATTGTATAAGGAGAACAACCGAATTCAAATGCTTTTGGGAAATAACATATATTTTGTTGATATAAAAATTACCACGAGTATGAAAGATATTTATAATAAAACTATTACAGTTGTCGACAACATATTTGCCTCTATAATTGCTCACATTATTTAAATTTGGATCTAGAAGCTAAAACAGTAGTATAGCGCCCAAAGCGTGCTAACTATTTTTGATAGAAAAGACCAATTAATGCATACAATTCAACTTGCTAAAAGAAATATCTACACCCGAAGATGTTATGAAAATGCAGGTGATGAAATATAAAGCGAGTTGAGAAGTTAAAGGGTATACGCAGAGACCCAATATTGATCATAATAGAAGGATATCCTTCTATGACATTGTGTTCCATTATTTAAAAAAAAACTAGCAGTAAATAATATATTTAGATATGTAGTTAATAGACACAGTCATCACATAATTATATGGGTCACGGGTCACTTATATATATATATATATATATATATATATATATATATATATATATGTGTGTGTGTGTGTGTGTGTGTGTGTGTGTGTGTGTGTTTTTTTTTTTTTTTTAAAGAATCCCTGATGAATTTAAAGTTTTCAAAATGCGATAGGCAAAAATTGCAACATGAATAGTGTAAAATTACTATGATCCTCTTATGACTTCACCATAATAATCAATGATTGGCTAAGTGTTTTTTTCTAAAGAAGAAAGTATAGATAACAAAAATGTATTATCAATGTTTCATATTATTAGGACATGTATGAAACATTATATTATATGCACATGCCTAGAGGTGGTAAGGGTGATTAGGAAACTCAAGTATTGTCTCAACCCATAAATCAAATTCTATACACCAATAAGCTTACATGAAAATGTCCTGAATATCTTATATATTTTTCGCTCTTTTAGCATATTAATTGATGTCTAATATCTTGAAGTAGATACATTCATTTAAACCTTAAAGGATAATTTAAGAGTAAAAGACATTTTTGGTCCTAAACTTATAGTGGCTTGGACAATTTTAGTCCTTTACAAAAAAAATTTGCCATTTTATGGACAGAGTTATTGTGGCGAGGACATTTTTGGTCCTCCGTCTATATTTCTGTTAGATAACCGTATGAGAGAGGGGCAATTAAGTCAATTTAGGCTATCTCTTTCTTGTGAGATGGACGATTTTGGTCCCACAACCATGCCTTTACTCTGACCCTCATTTATTTGTAGTTTTGCACTACGAAATGCTTTGCCCACAACCATGCCTTTATTGCAACTTGGACTCTCTGACTCCTTCGAATTATGACCGAGAAGAAAACAAAACACACATAGATATAATAGATAGAAGGAGATAGCCTAAATTGACGTAATTACCCCTCTCTCAGACGGTTATCTAACAAAAATATAGACGGAGGACCAAAAATGTCCTCGCCACAATAACTCTGTCCATAAAATGGCAAATTTTTTTATAAAGGACTAAAATTGTCCAAGCCACTATAAGTCTAGGACCAAAAATGTCTTTTACTCATAATTTAAGGACCAAAAGTCCATGCTTCAAAAACGTCATTCTGAACACCATTTTTGGAACCAAAGCTCCTTAATCACATAAGACCTTATACTATATTTGCGATAAGTTTTCTTGCAATATTTGGTGGTTTCCATAATGCAATATCCTTTAAGGTATAAAATACGTTAGCATATTTTATGCAATATGACATTTGTAAGCTATTTTAAGTGTTTGCATTTTGGTTGATCCCCATTTTGGCATTGGCCGCGTTGGGGAAGGCCGTAATCGGCCTCCTCCGCAGCCGGCCAGCTAGGCGATTTAGGTGACGCCTAGACCGCCTAGTCGGCCACCCTGTCTCAACCATTTTTTTTTTTGTTTAGCAAAACCCAGAACTCAGAAGCCCGGCGAAGCGCCTCCGCCACCCCACGCGACCCTGCCCCTTCACCAGTCGTCGCCTTTGTTCGTCAATCGCCGACCACGCCTCTACCTCCGAAGCATCACCTACGCAACCAAGTTGTTGGGTCTGAGTGTTGAGAGTGTTAGAGGCGACTCCGGCCACCTCTGAAGCGTCGACCAAGTGGTTGAGAGAATTAGAGGCGACTCACCACCTCCGAAGCGTCGACATAGTTTGAGTGCTGAGATAATTAAAGAGATGAATAGAGCTTGAGTGTTGAAGTCTGCGACTTTGAGTGCTGAGAGAATTAGAGAGATGAAAAGAGGTTGAGTGTTGAGAGAGATAAAGAATAGAGATTGAGTGTTGAGAGAGATAAATTACAGAGGTTGAGTGTTGAGAGAGATAAGTGGGAACAGCAGTGGACTGGCTGTACAGCAGTCTCAAGGCATTTGGGATTCAGCAGTTTTAGGGCATCCTCTTTTATTGAAAATTTTGAAGGGATTTTGTTGAAATGATTAGGAAAGAGAAAATGGAAGAAAAGGAAAAAAGAAAAGAAAAAAATAAAACAAAACAAAACAAAAAAAAATTAAATTACCCGCCCAGGTGCACGCGCCCGCCTGGGCGCGAGACTCTCTACTTTGTTGGGGGACCCACCAAACCTGTCAAAATCTCCATTTTGCAGGAAGAAAGTCTCCATAAAATGTTGTGTTCCCATTTGTAAAAATTTAACCCAATCACATTTTATTGTTCCAAAATTTGGCAAAGAACCCTTTTTAAGGATGCCCTAAGGCAATTGGGATTTGGGAACATCATTACCGTCTGTCCGCCTCTACTCTACACTTCTTCACGCACCGTCTCACTACAAAAATTTAAAAAAAATAAAAAAAGCAAATAAATCGAGTGCCTAAGTGCCTAACGTCTTTCTCAACATTGATTGTGGTATTGACATTCTATAAAAGTATATATTAATTACACTACACTTATTTTACCTATAAACCAAATACGTTATGAATGTACCTACCTTGCCAGATATATGAAAACCTAATTATGTTATTATATTGTATATTTTAATATTTTTTTATTTTTAAACTTTTTTTAATTAAATTCATGATAATATAGTTTATTCTGTGCATCTCACGAGAAAAATATTAATTATGTAATAAAGGATTAAAATTGGGTTATTAAACATTACATTTATTTCTATTAAAACCAGAGTGCCAGTTAAAAAGACAACAACGAATATCAATATCAAAGTAAAGGAAAATTGTAATTTAATCCTTCCATAATATGTCAATTATCAATGTCACTCTTAAATTATTAATAGTGTAAATGTTATCCCTCAATTTTCAAAACGAACATATATTACCCCTCACATAGTTTAAATATTGTCCCTAAATTTTCCTGCCGCATAATACAAGTGGGGCAATTTATGTACTATTTTGAAAATTGAATATGCAACATTTACATCACTAATAATTCAAAAGTGACATTAATAATTGAAATATTATGGAGAGACATATTTACAGCAGAGGGACACTAATAATTCTTTTTTTTTTTTTTTGGAATAAGGTTCAAATTGGCCACTGAACGTAACCTGAAAATGCAATTAGGCAATTGAACGAAAAAAAAGTGCAATTAGGCCATTGAACACTAAAAAAATGTGCAATTAGGCCACTGAACTCTCCAAACGTATGCAATTTTACCGGATAGCAGGTTACCATCAATTTTAGCAGGTTACCTGCTTACGTGGCAGCTGAGTTGGCATTTTTAATAATTTTTAATAATTAATTTTAATAATAAATTTTATAAAAAATTGAAAAAATTAAATAAAAAATAAAATAAAGTCGTTTTTATTTTTTTAAAATTTTTTTTAATAAAAAGTTATTATTAAAATTTATTAAAAATTAATTAAAATTTATTAAAAATGCCAACTCAGCTGCCACGTAAGCAGATAGCCTGCTAAAATTGAGAGTAACCTGCTATCAGGTGAAATTGCACATTTTTGGAGTGTTCAGTGGCCTAATTGCACTTTTTTTTCGTTCAGTGGCTTAATTGCACTTTCAGGTTACGTTCAGTGGCCAATTTGAACCTTATTCCTTTTTTTTTTTTGAATACTATTGACTCTATGACAATGTAATATCTGTTCATACATATTTTCTCAACCTACTGAAGAACAAAGAGTCAATGCCCTACAGTGCGGTTTGAAGTTGAGACCTCTCATTTGAAGGACACTAATAATTCAAGAGTAATTATTAGGATTTCTCTAGATCATTCAGCAGAGGACAATGTAGTCTGGGGAAGCTAGGAAGTCCAAATAGGTATTCTTTGAAGAACATAAGGGACTTCATACATGGGATGGTACCTATTTGGAACTAATCTAACATATTTTCAAACTGCGAAATTGAAAACTTTAACCACATAATTTTAGTCACAAGTTCAGAATATGATTTGTGCTTTTCTAGAAGCTCGAGTGAATATTACTAACTCTTTCAAAATATTAGAGACCTCTGATGCCTCTACTTTCTTGTCCACAAAACTAACCCTTTCTAAGGCTGGGCAGAAAGCAAGTATTAGCTTTACAAAAAGCATTTCAGCTCTTGACCCCTGGAAATTTTTCATCTTCAAAGCCCGCAAACTGTTAATCTCCTTGCTCATGCAGCTATGTTCTTGCAAATACTGTAAAACGAGGTTGTTGTCAGCAGTCACCGTCGGAACCTATACATACAACAAAACAGAAATAAGTTCAAACCACAACAGTGAGAGTAGGGTAGAAATAAATAAATGTAAGTAGACCATAAGTTTCTCACGTCCATCATAATTTGAAGGCTATGCACCCTAGGAGAGCTGTGAAGCAAGCAAAGGGTGTTGGAGACTTGTACCAGATCGGTAAAGTTAATTTGAAATAGTGTAAGATCCCTCAAATAGTTGATTTTAACTGGAAGTGCACTCGTAATAGAGTCTGCAGCCAAAAGCTTACCAGCACAGAGAAAAATGATAATGCAACCTAAACACATTGTTCGGGAAATAAGAATCGAAAATCTTAAAAAGATTGTACCTTGAGATGGTATCCATCCACAAAAAGGTTTGAAATTAGAGGCCAGTGTTCAAACAAGCTTGCTAAATTTATCCTTTCACCAGTGCCAAAAGATTTAACTTCCACTGGCAATACAAGACATGCATATACAATACTTTTGCAGTTCATAAAACAACTCAGTTTAATCCCGTGATTCTTGTAAAGTACCAAGGCGCGAAGTGATGGTAAACAGCCATCAAAGTCCAAGTGATCCATACCACTGCACTTTTCTAAGATCAAACGTTCAAGCTTTGATGCAGCAAAGACAGAAGCAGAAACCTCTGGCTTGAAAGCAACTTTAGTCAAAATAAGCACCTTAAGATTTTGAAAGCTTCTTATAGTACCACATGGTTGTTTGAAGATACAGTTAGACAGATTCAGATACGTAAGTTGTTGACACAAGAATACATAAGAGGGAAGTGCATAGAGATCACGACTGGAATTCTTCAGAGTGAGTTCCCTCAATCCATTTCTTGACAAATATAGTATCCATGGATCAATGTTTGGGTACTGTGACATGTGTACATCTGAAAGGTTGACACGAAAAGTTAGAATGGGCCCAATATGCTGTAAGAGAATTCGATTGCCTATTCCAACAAAATCATTTTTGGTGACAGTGACTATATTCTTGGGATCAAGTACAAGATTCGGGTGACCAGCCCATATGTATCTCCATTTTCTAGACAAAACACTTGTTCTTGCTGCATCTCGAACAGGCAAGTGATCTAGGATGCAATGTAAAACATCCGTTGGAAGTCAATAAATCTATCAATCATGGCCCTCCGTTTGCTATTTCCTGAGATTTCCATTTCTAATAAAAGGAGAAACCAGCATTAGAAATTAGAAAATCCAATTGTAAAAGAATAATTTACAATCCCTATCTCTTGTGCCTTAATCCTTGTATAATACTTAACCTTGAAAAGTTAACCATTTGATAATATAATAATAATAATAATAATACTATCGTATCCAATGAATACTACTACATCAAAACCCAAACTATTCACCTCAAACTCTCAAAGTAAATATATACAAAATGGAAAAAGAACAAGACAGAGTGAATTGAACTATATCACTAGCTTCTCCCTTCTACATGGTGAAAAATAAACCAATAGAAACTGGTTAGGGCGAACCTATCAGTCTCAGAGTTAGAGTTTTTCTAAACAAAGGGCTTTAACGTCTGGAAGATCAAATTGAAGCTGAAGTAAACAAAAAAACTGAAAATTTTTACTAACAGCAAAGAAAATAAACACAAGAATAGCTTGTATTGAAGTATTAATGCTACTAAATACGAATAATGCTGGACCTGAACGGAGACGGAGACGGTCGGATCTTCGACGGAGCATAGCTTGGTAAGCCTAATAATGTCTTCCAAGACTCCACGTCGTGTCGTGGGTAAAAATCAATTTTACGCTTTTAACTACATTTTGTTGATCATGTGGTCTTTGGGTAAAATTTAATTTTGTACTCCGTGACACTTGCTGGTTTTAACGTCTAATTGACACTTTTACCCCTGGTTTTAACGTCTAATTAACACTAAATTAACATAAGGACTAATGGTGGAACGATTTTGATAGTCAAGGGTTTAATTCGTCCAAATTAAAAGACGATGACTAAATTTGGAAAATCATTATAGTCAGGGGACCATTGCTGGAATTAACTCTAAATTTTATATTAGAATTAAGAGGAAAGGGTAGGCTCTCGAATTTTAACTTAAAAGTTAATTAGGTCTCTAAACTTTTTGAAGGTGCAATTACACTCATCAACAATTCAATTTAGGTAAAACAAGCATTTGCGCCAGTCACTTTTCTTTTTGCTGGAAATTTCGCTGGTCGGTAGGCGGTCACTTTTTTTTTTTTTTTCTGCCGAAAGGTGGTGTGAACCCTAATGACCTGTGATAGCATGTCATTAACTTATTTTTGGGTTTCATTGCACCTAAATGAATTGTTGATGAGTGTAATTGCACTTTTAAAAAGTTTAGGGATCTAATTGACTTTTAAGCTAAAGTTCGAGGGCCTATTTGACTCTTTTTCCTAGAATTAATTATACCAGAAGTTTCAGGACAAGGCATTTTCAAATTTAGTCTCATATTATTATTTTTACCATTTAACATTTTAGATTATTATTTTATGGATAGTTTTAGTCCTTTTCATGGCTTTTCTTATTTTTAGTATGGACATTTTTGTCTTTTCATATTTTTCTTCTGTTATTTTATTTCAATCGGTTTAATTGATTTAGGACTTTACTAAAAATTGGTGAAAAATATGGTTACTAGAAATCAAATATTACCTAAAGTTTTAAACCAATTAAGCCGGTTGAAACCGGAACAATATATAAAAAATAAAATAAAATATACAAAGACAAAAATACCATTACTAAAAATAAGAAAATTTTTAAAAAAGATTAAAATTGTCCATAAAATAATAGTATTAGATGTCAAATGACAAAAGCGATAATCAGAACTAAATTTGAAATTATCACCAAAATAAAGGATCTCTAGTAGAATTAACTCTTTATATTATTATTATTATTATTTTGAAAACCTATATTATATTATTTTTCTTTGAGTATTCACTAATTTACCTTCTTTAAGTATGATTTTTGAGTATTTGTAATTTTGTATAGTTATTTATCGACTAAAATCACAAGATGAATTTCATGTATAGAGCATAGTGTACTCTCCAATAATGAATCTGAGGAGTGGAAGCTCAAGAATTAATTAGGTTTAGAGGATGTTGGAGCCCATGGGCAATGATTGGGAGGCCTATGTAAGAAGGGAAGAGAGTTAAATGTGCAAATTGAGCTAAGGAACGAAGTTAAGGGGATGAGGGCATAAAGGCTGAAGAGATTGGGCATAGAGTAAAGAAGGGAGAAAAGTTTAGAGGCCAAAGCATGACAATGCATAAATTATATGGTCTGAAGGCACAGAGACTACAAAGGGTACAAAGGAATGGGTCAAAAATGAGAAGGGACATAAAATCTAAGGTCATAATATGCAAAGATACGGTAAGGAATGATGGACTGGTGGCAAGGCAACATGGTGCACCACCACTCCAAATAGCAGGTTGCGAGCCGCTTACTGCCAAGCATGGGAGAGTGATATGGGAGAGTGATCCTACCAGCGGTTACTAGCTTTTGTCAGCTATGAGAAGACCGTGGATGAGGTTGGGGACGACCGCGGGTGGCTAACTACTGCAAACCACCATTGTGGTTTTGGGCCCTAGGGTGTGTTAAAGGTATAGATGGTGGTGAATGAGGGTGTGGTATGGAATCGTCAAGGGTTGTCGTTCACTCTTTATTATTTTCAAACCCCAAAAATACTAATAAGGGGTTTGGGTTTACAAAAGCAATTTCATTATGATTGCAGTAGAATAGGAAATATTGTTCCATAAATCAAACAGGCGGTTAAAGTATTACACCAAGAAATATCACTTACTGCATTCTAGTGCAGTTGACTTTGGAGAAACTATTCAAACCAACCCTCAAAAAGCTGTGGTGTGAAAAGGCAAGACCAACACTTGATAAAATCATAAGATGTCTCAATAGCTCATTGAGACTATTTCAAATTGAGAAACCAAAAACATTAACCAGAGGTTCAGAACACAATTTGCACTTTCCTTAAAGCTCGAGGGAACAGCAACAGCTCTTTCAAAATATTTGAGAAATTCGACTGCAATACTCTATTGTCCACAAAAGTGATCCTTTGTAGTGATGAGCAGCATGAAAGTATAAGCTTTACAAAAAGCATTTCAGCTCTTGACCCCTGGAAATATTTGATCACCAATGACTGCAAACTGTTAATATCTTTGCTCATACCGCTATGTTCTTGCAAATACTGTACAGCAAGGTTGTCGCCAGCAGTCACTGCAGGGATCTATAACACAAAAATTGAAATAAGTTGAAAGAAAAACTGGAAGAAATAAATGGAAATGTTGGATCATTTTCCCACCTTTGCCCAAATTTGAGGGCTATGCACCCCAGGAGAGCTATGAAGCAAGCAAAGAATGCAAGATATTTGTTCCAGATCAGTAAAGTTAATTTCAAACAATGTAAGTTCCCTTAAGCTATTAACTTTAACTGGAAGAGCACTCATAACTGAACCTGCAGCCAAAAGCTTTGCACCATAGAGAAAAATTAAAACACAAACCTATATATATATATATATATATATATATATATATATATATATATATATCATTTGGGAAATAAACACAGATAATCTTAAAAGGAAATGCACCTTGAGATAGTGTCCATCCAAAGTAAGCTTTGAAATTTGAGTCCAGTGCTCAAAAAGGCTTGTTAAATTGATTCTTTCATTACGGTGAAGAGATTCAACTTCCATTGGCAATCCAAGATATGCAAAGGTTATACTTTTGCAGTGCATAAAACAACTCAGTTTAACCCCATGATTCTTGTTAAGTTCTAAGGAGGAAAGTGATTGTGAACAGCCATCAAACTTCAAGTGATCCATACCACTACAGTTTTCTAAGTTCAAATGTTCAAGCTTTGATGCAGCAAAGATAGAAGCAGAAACCTCTGGCTTGAAAGCAACTTGAGTCAAAAAAAGCACCTTAAGATTTGGAAAGCTTCTTATAGTACCACATGGTTGTTTGAAGATACAGTTAGCCATATACAGATACGTAAGTTCTTGACACAAGAATACATAAGAGGGAAGTGCATAGAGATCACTACTGGAATTCTCCAGTATGAGTTCCCTCAATCCATTTCTTGACATGTATAGTATCCATAGATCAATGTTTGGGTACTGTGACATGTGTACATCTGAAAGGTTGACATCAAAAGTTAGAATGGGCCCAATATGCTGTAAGAGAATTAGATTGCCTATTCCAAAAAAATCATTTTTGGTGACAGTGGCTATATCCCGGGGATCAAGTACAAGATTCGGGTGACCAGCCCATATGTATCTCCATTTTTTAGACAAAATACTTGTTCTTGCTGCATCTCAAGCAGGCAAGTGATCTAGGATGCAGTTTAAAGCATCCGTTGGCAAGTTAATAAATCTATCATCCATGGCCCTCCGTTTGCTATTTCCTGAGATTTCCATTTCTATTAAACAGAGAAACCAACATTAGAAAATCCAATTATAAAAGAATAATTTACAATATTTGTTTTAGTTTTCTTTTCATCACCCAAATCCCCTATCTCTTGTGCCTAAATCCTTCTATGATACTTAACCTTAACCATTTGATAATATAATAATAATACTGACAGTGACATTTTTTTATCTGCAAACTATCGTATCCAATGAATACTACTACATGAAAACCCAAACTATTCATCTCAAAGCAAATATATACAAAATGGAAAAAGAATAACACATAGTGAATTGAAGCAAATATATCAAATTGAAGCTGAAGTAAACCAAAAAAAAAAAAAAAATGAAAATAGAAACTGGTTAGGGCCAACCTCTCAGTCTCAGGGACAGAGTATTTCTAAACAAAGGGCTTTAAAGGAGATCAAATTGAAGCTGAAGTAAACAAAAAAACTGAAAATTTTTAGTAATAGCAAAGAAAATAAACACAAGAACAGCTTGTATTGAAGTATTAAATACGAATAATGCTGGAAACACCTGAACAGAGGCGGTGGGATCTTCGACGGAGCACAAGGCAAGTCCTTGGTAACCCTAATAATGTCTTCCAACACTCCACGTCGTGTCGTGGGTAAAAATCAATTTTACAACATCAGGATGAGGAGTAAACAAATACTCCGTATAACATTTACATAGGTAGACAGATGGCATAGCAGGAGATAGCATTGCCTTGTCAAGGTCGTGTGTTCCATCTCTACCAGCTACTGCAAGAACTTCTTGCAATTTTCATTTTCCCGCCCATTCAATATTGTATCGTTCTATGTACATAAATTACTGATCTGATTTAATTGCCTATTCACACGATACTCTATTAGAATGTAGTATATGTTCATAACTACTTTCTCAATCTACTGAAGCACAAAGAGTCTATTGAAACACAAAGAGTCAATAACACGCATAACATTCCATATGGAAGTCTCGGATTTAACATAGGTAATTACGTAATTAGTTAGCTAATTTATTGCTTTGAAACTTACGAGTATTAAAGATGGCCGGTGCACAATATTCAAACTACCTGGAAACTCGAAAAGGGAAAAATGAAATTGAATTTACAGTTTACATTTTACACTCTAGAACTAATATTTACAACTAATACATATGTTCTATTTTTGAAAAAAAGTAATTTGAAATTTGAAATAACATAAATAATAGGACTCTTCATTTCTCTAAGAGAACAATTCTGATAGCATTCCATCTCTATATATAGAGGTCGACGAGTTAGCTAATTTATTGCTTTGAAACTTACGAGTATTAAAGATGGCCGGTGCACAATATT